GGAGTCGGCGAGAGGTAGACGCGCGGATGAAATCTTAGTGGTTCCGACGTACTCACACGCGTATGCGAGCAAACGAGCTCGACAGGAAGGGCAGAATGGGGCGGATTACGACAATCGAGTCGCCATGTGCGCGATCGGTTTCGAGGACGCGAGGATGGAGAGCGAGAAGGCGCCGTTCGGAGCCGAGGGCGACGAGGGGTCGGCAAACTCGACGATCGTCACAATCTCTCGAGCCGAGCGACGCGCAGCGAGCATATACGGAGAAACAGCGTCACCCAGCGGCAAGGCGCGCCTGGGATCAACGGTGTCGCTCATGGATATGCTTAAGCGAGAGCGTCCCGATACAGACTTCATCTTGTGCGTCGGCGAGGACGCGTTCGACGATATGGTGAGCGGTAAATGGTTCCGCGGAGATGATTTACTCAAGGAATACGAGGTAATCGTCGCTCCGAGGCACGGTTACGAGTCCACGCGTCGCGAGGGCGACTTGGCTCGAGCGAAGAAGACACTGTCGGTGGATATCCGAGGCGTCTCTTGGTTGGATTCGGCCGCGACTGCTCCGGAGAGCGAGCCAGTCTCTTCCACCAAGATTAGACACGCGCTGCATCGTCGAGAACGAAATAGAGGCGAGAGAATGAACGAGGATCTGGGATTGCCGCAGGGAGCGCTTCATCCGGACGTGCTGAAATACATCATAGATCAGGAGCTCTATCACGGAGACGTCGAGGGCGACGACGAGCTCTATGGTGGCGGCACCGAAGATGAGCAGTTCGATGATCCCTCGATTCAGAAACAAAATGGGTACTTCGCATCGCTCTCTCGAAGATTCGCCAACGTGAGCATCGAGCCGAGCGCATATTTCTCTCGAGACAAATCCTTCAATGACAAGGAAGATAAACACGGATTGCTCGCCGAGTCTCGCCCACTCATAGGCAAAGAGGTGGAGGTTCACGAGATAATCAAGACCATGGCGTCACACGAAGAGTTCATCGCGTTCAAGGCGATGCCCTACGAGCTTTTCGATCGTTGCATTCGCACCGAACTGCAGAATAATCCTCCTGGGAAAACGTGGAGTGAGAAAAAGGCTGAAAAGTACGCGACGTCAACCGTCGAGCGCGCGCGCCTCGTTACGGCGTGGCGCACGGAGAACAACGTCGATGAGCTACTCGAACATAGCATCTTACCCGAGTCTGATTGCATGTACACGAATTGGCCCGCGTACGTGCACGGTCAGGACTCGTACGGCCACCCCATCGTCTGCGAATGGCCCGCGCACGTCTCCCCAGAGGGACTGAAATCAAGGATGACGGTCGCAGAAATTTTGCGACACAGAATTCAAGTCATGGAGACGTTGGAGTACATGAAGTCCCGCTCGCAGTGCGCGCACAGAGTGTACAAACACGTGTGCTTTATCGATCTGGACGGCGTCACGCTTAGTTATTTTACGGGTGAGGTGAAAAAGTTCATGACGGAACTCGTCAAGCTCTTGACGCATCGATACACGGATTCTTTGCACCTGATGTATCTCGTCAACACACCCGTGATTTTTCGCGTCATATGGTCCGTTCTCGCGCCGTTGCTGTCGACGACGACCAAGTCGAAAA